ATTGTAACTCTGCTGGAGGGACGAACCGCTCCCCCACCTTGGGCTGTGTGAGGATTAGAGAGGGTGAAAAAGCGAAATGAAAATGTCAGATTTCTATTGGGGATTAAGAGGCACTCAACTCTAGCCAAGTTTTATTTTTTCCATTCTAAAGGAGGGAAAAAAAAAGTGCACGCTGAATTCTCCCATTCTTGCAACATGCTGTAAATGCATGAGTTAGAAGGGGGAAAAAAAACCCCTGAAAACAAAAGAAACAATTTGACAGGATTTCTTTACCTGAAATGTTTCAGTTTTCTATGACTTTGAGGTCAGCACACTCAAGAGTTTCTAAGACCCATCTCTGATGTGAATGAGGCGTGAATCCTGGAGATAGAGGCCCCCTAAGAGTGAGGAAGAGAAGAAAACACCATTTATTCTATCAACTATAAAAATTTGGTCAGAATATTTGCTGAGTAAAATTACCATGTTGACCGCTTCTTCTCACATTGAAAAAGGTAGTTTTGAATCCCCATAACTCCAGTGTAGAATCGAATAGTCATTCTCAACTATTTCTAGGGATAAACATTATTATCAAAGAAAACACCTGATAAAAATTCAACTTGTAAAATAGACCAGAAACTGAGCTTGTCTGGGGGTGGGCCCTGCCCTCAACCCACGCCAATCATTATCTCTGAATCTTGTAGACATTTCACACGTTTTAAGAATCCTTGGTACAGACTGGGGACAGTCCCAGTCATTGGAGAGCATCTGGAAACATCTAGGGGAGGCTTGGGGTGTCCTAATAACTGAATGGCTGATGTCCTTTCTAGCATTTAGTGGGGTCAGGGATGCTACTGTATGACCTGCAATGATGAGACAGCCATCACAACAAATAATTATCCTGCTTAAATGTCCATACAGCCCCCATGAAGACACATTCCTCCAGGGGTAGGAGCTAAGGTTCACCAACCCAACCTCAGTCCCCATTTCCCTCCCAGGAGGAGTATGGCACTCCTCCTACCATAGAGCATAAATATGCCAGAAACATCTTACTCAGCCTCCCCTGCAACCAGGAGTGGCTGTGGAATCCAAGTCTGACCAATGCAATGGGAGAGTACATTTATTCTGGGGTCTGGAGAATCTTCTAGGAAAAGCGTTCATCTTTCATAAAATGGATGCACAAGAAGAAACTCTATTTCCTGGCTTTGAAAACAGTTGGTCAAGGACAAGATGCTGGAAGCAAAGCAGCCATTATGTGAGCACGAGGAGACACGCTTACAAGCCAAGCCGACGTAGTGAGCAAAGGCAGAGCAGAAAGATGGGTGTGGTTAAGCTGAGTTAATCATCGTTTCTGTTAGAGGCGACAATGAATATGACTCTCTAAGTCTGTGTTAACGGGGTCTTTGGTTGTTGACATCCAAACACATTTTAGTAGATACACTTTCCTATGTCAGATTCACTTAGAAGTAGGGAGCAGAGCTCCGAGGAAATATTCTGCAGATACACTGACACTCTGATTTCCGCTGGGGTTTTTCTTGTTGACTCAGAGTCGGAGTAAACCTCTCCTTCCCTTGTAATTGATCTTCCGCTTCTGCCTGAGGGCGATTGTGTGTGTTCTGTATAGCAGGAGCTTCTGGTTACTAACGGCTATTCTATACTTTTCTTTAGAATCATTTATCTGTTAGGTCCATCCCAACACAAGCAAGAATACTCGGCCATAGGAGGTGACATTAACTACTGACTCTGAGGTGAAGTAATTCTCCTTCTGCCTCATACCCACCCCTCTCCTCCCCAGCATAGACTTGTGTTAGCCCCCAGGAAAACTGGGAGGATGGAAGCTTGTACAGCATCTAGTACAGGGCTTTCTCCTTCCTCCCAACTCCCCCTACTCTGCCCTCTGTTTCACCCCCAGAGATAGACCCACATTGCCTTCCAGAAGCCCCTGCTACAGTGTAGGCAGACATCGCTCCACCCGCCATCCCACCAAGAAGGGACTGGTAGAAAGCCAAACAGGAAGAAATCTCTGATGATGGAATTCCAGGCTCACAGCAGGCTAGGGGGAAGGAGGGCGGAGATGGGCACCCCCACCTGCCCCCATCAGTCTCAGTGAGGAGGAATTAGGATTCTACCAGTCCAGGCCAGGAGACAGAGAGAGGGTGGGGCACCAAGTCCCCCGCTGCATCTCTCCCTGTGAGTGTCAGACCTCTCCGCTCTCCGCTCTCCGCCTGCCTACTCCTGCCCAGACCTGCAGGCTCACGCGGATCCCAGCACCGATCAGACCTGACCATCAATCTCCTGATTCTGTGCAGCTGGACGATGTCCAGGTTCCCTTGGGGAGATGGTTGTGCCTGCAGCTCCTTTCTGAATCCTGACTGATGATCAATAGAGAAATTACAATGAGACAAGCGCTGTGGGCAGGAGGGCATCTTCACTCCCCAGCAACACCGCAGAAACTGCAAAAGGATCCTGAAAGTGGAGCAGGGATGAGCTGCCGCTAAGTGGGATCAGCGAGACTGCCCACGCCTCTGAGGTCATCTAAGAAGATGTGCAGACTCATGGGGACAGAGATCATTTCAGGGCAGAGCAGACGAGAACTCGGGCAATGGTTGTACGCTTGCCGCTTGATTTTTTTTTTTAAGGAAGCATTTTAAACATGCAGAAAAGTGTTAGGTCACAAGCATCTGGGTACTCACCACTCTATCATAAGAGATCCGACTTCAGATGTGCATTTGAAGCTCCTGCACTCTCCTCTCCCATGTATTTCCCTCCTTCTCCCCAAGAAATAACTATCCCCATAACTGTTTTCTTACCATGCTCATGCATATTACACTTTTAATGAACTTATTTATACTCCCAAATAAATATATTACTTGGTATATTTTAAATGTTTATATTAATGGTATTTTACTGTATGCATCCTTCTCTAACTTGCTTGGTTTTATTTAACATCGTCTTTGAATTTGATTCTTACTGATATCTACTTTTCTAGTTTATTTTAACATCTGTAACCACGCCGTTGTCTCGGCCAACAGATATTCTAGAGGCCGCCATGTTTTTCCCTATCACAGACAAAGCTGCTTTGTTTTGTTTTTGTTTTTGTTTGCAATACACGGGCCTCTCACTGCTGTGGCTTCTCCCGTTGCGGAGCACAGGCTCCGGACGCACAGGCTCAGCGGCCATGGCTCACGGCCCCAGCCGCTCCGCGGCATGTGGGATCTTCCCGGACCGGGGCACGAACCCGCGTCCCCTGCATCGGCAGGCGGACTCTCAACCACCGCGCCACCAGGGAAGCCCTGGTTCTTCCTTTTTTGAACGTAACCATGTCCTTCCAGGAACTTCTTTTTTCCCCTTAAGTTGGCTGGACTCAGCGTCTATGGGATGCAAACAAAGATCCCTGAGTGACGCAGCCTCCGAGGGTGGCAGGCGGGCAGGTTTTCAGGGCACCCGAGACAAGAAAAGCCCTTCTTGTTCTTTCTCCCAATGTATTCACACCACGGCCTTGGACCATCCAACCCTGAAGGTCGGGGGCTTGGCTGTTTCGAGCAGTAGCCAGCCCCTCCGTTTAAATATGCACTTTCAGCCATCAGTTCACATTTATCTAGCGCCAATGTGGAGCTAGGCACTGTATTAACAAGGAAGACACATCCTTCATCCTTGAAGAGGCCCGGGTAGAATCTTGTGTTCTCAGTAAGGGACCACAGTTCATCCAAATGGATGTGGCGAGAAAGCTCCCTTACCTGTGCATTTGCAGGAAAGAAATATCCATCTAGGTCATTGTCTCAATTCCTTCCCCTGCTGAGGTCTTGTAGAAGATGTGGTTTCCATTGAAGGATCGTTCTGCACTCTGGCCTGCCCCCAAGGATGGGGAGAAGGAATAGTCCCTTTTTTTTTTTTAACAGCTTTATTGGAGTATAATTGCTTTACAATGGTGTGTTTAGCTTCTGCTTTATAACAAAGTGAATCAGCTATACATATACATATATCGCCATATCTGTTCCCTCTTGCGTCTCCCTTTCTCCCACCCTCCCTATCCCACCCCTCCAGGCGGTCACAAAGCACCGAGCTGATCTCCCTGTGCTATGCGGCTGCTTCCCACTAGCTATCTACTTTACATTTGGTAGTATATATATGTCCATGCCACTCTCTCACTTTGTCACAGCTTACCCTTCCCCCTCCCCATGTCCTCACGTCCATTCTCTAGTAGGTCTGCGTCTTTATTCCCGTCTTGCCCCTAGGTTCTTCATGACCCTTTCTTTTTTGTTTTGTAGATTCCATATATAGGTGATAGCATACGGTATTTGTTTTTCTCTTTCTGACTTACTTCACTCTGTATGACAGACTCTAGGTCCATCCACCTCACTACAAATGAATGGTCCCTTCTTTTAAGGCAGACAAGACATTTCATAAACGTGCGGCTTCACCTCACCAACACATGAACTCACCAGCGGTGACTGGTGAGCTCATACACCCAGTGAATCAAGAGACCCCATAAACAATAGGTCAGTGATTTCAAATCCATTTTCCAAAGACAAACAGATGAATCTGAAGGACACAGATGACACTCTGGCAGAGGTCACTGTGGGTTACATGCATTTTGATTGCTTCCAAGTTATATAAGAAAAAAAAATGAACTTTTCTCACATAGTAGCCTGGGTATTGTGAATAGTTGTCTTTAATACCCCCCACCTCTATCACTTTATTTTGGAAATAGAGCACTCTCAACCCCCTCCCCCATTTTCCTTCCTTCCCCACTTGCAATCCATAGCATCTGGGCGTCAGAAGGCAAGCCCAAGACCCAGAGCTGACCCAATCAGCATGTAGCATTTCTAGAGCTGACCCAATCAGCATGTAGCATTTCTAGAGCTGACCCAATCAGCATGTAGCATTTCTAGAGCTGACCCAATCAGCATGTAGCATTTCTAGAGCTAAGCCAATCAGTATATGGTGCTCCCAGCAACAGTGATTCATCGGGGTGAGCACATGACAGCATGAGTCTCAGGACTTGCCCGGAAGCTCCCGGCTCTTTCCTGCTGGGTTGAACATGGAGGATGAAGCTGGAGGTGCCGCAGCCACCTTGCCACCTGGAACCTGGGAATGGAGTGAACACAGTTAGAGATAGCTCCAAGGCACCAGCGAAAAGTGAATCTCTTTGAATTGACTTCAGAATCTAGTAAGTTTCAGCATTCCCTTCCAGCAGCACCATCTTGGTTCTCTGGTTCTGGGTGATTTCCTCACTCTCTTTTCTGGGCGAGTGAACTTTGGGACAGACTGCCTGGGTTCAAATCTCAGTATCCCCACCACTAGCTGTGACTTTGAGCAATTTACTCTGTGTCCCCATTGTCTTAACTGTAAAATGGAAATAAAGATAATATGACCCTCGTAAAATTGTTGTGAGACGTGAATGTGTTAATGCATGCAGAGTGATTGGGGTAGCGGCATGCAGTAAGGCCTGTATCAGTGGTAGCTTTCATCACTGTTATGTTGTTATTTATATTGATGATCCCGTCTAGATATCTCCCTCCACCCTGCTGGTTGCCACCATTCCCTAGCACCTTGCTGTCTTGGTTCCTACTCCACCTAGGACTTTTTCATTCCTTTCTATGGGCCAAATTTCCTTCTCTGTGTCTCAATACTAAGGAGATTTCTCTTTCCAAGGTCACAGGTACCTATTATGAGACGTCAACCCAGGTAAACAGGTTCATGGGTTTCCCTTCAGATAGAAGGACAGGGAAACTTTGTTTCTGTGCGTCCCACTTCAGTTTATAAATCTCTTCAATGAATATGATTTTTGTAATGTACAGTATTTCTTTGGCTGCCCAGAATCCACTGTATCACCTTTTGCTATCCAAATCCCAATTTCCCTGGGAAACCATTCCCTGACTCTCATCCAAATGGTTTGACCAGCCCTTCATGTCAGGTGGGCTAAGGCCATCAGGGCTTTCCTTTCCTGATGACTCTGATTGGTCCAGGGATGGGCATGTGACAACAGGACTGTTGGGGAAGGAGAAATGTACCCCCACCCTCATGAGTTCTTGTTGCTGGTCTAATTAAATTGTCACAAGACAAATAAACAGAAGAAAACCAATGTAATTCCTACACACGGAGGTCTCAGGCAAGTGGGACCCCTGAACGGACCAAAGCAGGCTGTTTGTAAATCATTTTTAGACAAAGAAACAATTATTTGTGAAGATTTAGCAAAGGGGCTGGCGCTTGGGGCAGCAGACTAATGAAGGAGTAACAAAGTTAGTTTATACGGCTTTCTTAGCCTGGAGTTCCCTGACTCTGGTGATAAGGATGCTGTCTCTCCTCCTGGTGTAGGGAGGATACCTTCACATGTGAGATTTATTTACCACTTTTAGAGAGAAAGGTGGGGAGGTCTGTGTTTTTTTATATTATTTTTTTTCCACCAGCTGTTTCTCAAGTAACTTCAATTCAAAACAATCAATATGCCATTGAAGCATATTTTGGGGCAGCCTGCCCTGGGCCCCAACAGGACCAATGAGACGCAATGTGTCTGTTGTTGTGGCTTGTGGGAGTGAGGCAGGGATTCATTTCCACTGGACTTAGTCTTTCCTGCAGCCTTGACAGAAGATTCTCTAAGAATGAACCTGAGAGGGAAAGGAGGACGTGAGAGACCAGGAGACGTTAGTCAGGACCTGAGGACATCATTTGAGCATCTGGATCCAGCTGTGCCTGAAACTAAGAAACTACTCTTTGCGCTTCTTAGTTATTTGATGTTGTAAATTCCTTTAATTTGAAGTTATTTAATTTGGCTTTTCTGTTGCATGCAACCAAGTGTCCTGACTGATACAATCATCCAGTTATATGATGTTTGCATCTAAAAAGGGTTGTCCAGTGTCTCAGTCCAGAAGGAGTAGTGACCGTAGGATTGCAGACACATGGCAATAGGTTCTAGAGGGTCTCTGATGTCATCCCGGAGAGCTGGTTACTACTCAGCCTCAGATTCAGCTGGTTCTGCAAGAAGAGTCCTCAAGTTATCAATTCTCTCCCTTCATTCCTCCAGAAGGTATCCTTCTGTCCCTTTAAGGCAGCATACAAGTAACTTAGGATGGCTTTAATTAGTCCAACAGTGGAGAGACTGAGGAAAAAACTCAAGCCAGAGCCGTTGGAATGTGGTGAAGTGCGGGTTACCCAGGTGGGGCTGACGTCATTCAGGACTTCGATGCTGGATTGGGTGCTCTGGCTTCCATCAACTTTTTTTTTTTTTGCGGTACGCGGGCCTCTCACTGTTGTGGCCTCTCCAGTTGCGGAGCACAGGCTCCGGATGCGCAGGCTCAGCGGCCATGGCTCACAGGCCCAGCTGCTCCGCAGCATGTGGGATCTTCCCGGACCGGGGCACGAACCCGTGTCCCCGGCATCGGCAGGCGGACTCTCAACCACTGCGCCACCAGGGAAGCCCCCTTCCCTCAGCGTTTAAGAATGCTGGATCCCTGATCTGCCAAGACCTCAGATAGGTGGGGAAACATTTATGTGCATGGAGGGAAAAAGCTCTTTCAGTTGCAAAGTGAGAATTTCAGTTGCTTTACCACCATTAATCCAGAAAATCACTGTCTAAGATGGAGGTTTAAAAAATTGTGTAAATGAGCTGCTTGGTTGACTTAAAGGAGCAAAGCTTCCCACCAGCGTTCAGGGCTGGCCATTCATCAAGTGACCTGGCACATGTAGGACGGTGTCTTCGTCTGCACGTGCTTTGGTGGAGCAGCAAAAGTGTGCCCTTTTGACTCGCTAATCAGTTTCCCTGAGTTTTCTGGGCTAATAAATCACTTTCTCTGGTCTCCATTAGCTACACATGGTGTTTCTGTCAGAAAGACCTTCATGTTTACATTCTTATTTGATAGCAAATGTTGAGGGACACCAGGCCTCCTTATTGACGAGAGCCTCTGACCCTGGGTCAGAGCAGGAAATGGGCTTTTCCAGAAATGTCACAAAGGTCATAGAAGGCAGGAGTAAAGAAGTAATCACAGTGCTCAAGAATCTATGGGAAGTAGCAAAATCCGACAGGGCGGTTTTATTAGTCGGGGGTCTGCAGAGAAACAACCAACAGGAGATGTGTATGCGTGTTTGTGTGTTTATACAATTTATTGTAAGGAATTGGCTCACATGATTATGGAGGCTGAGAAGTCCCATGATCTTCCATCTGTAAGCTGGAGACCCAGGAGAGCCAGTGACATAGTCCCAGTCTGAGTCCAAAAGCCTGAGAACCAGGGGAGCCAATGGTTAAGTCCTAGTCCAAGGGCAGGAGAAGACCCATGTCCCCATTCAAGCAATCAGGTGTGAAGAGCATATTCTCCCTTCCTCTATTGTTCTATTCGGGCCCTCTGCAGATTGGAAGATGCCCACGCACATTAGGGAAGCAATCTGCCTTACCCAGTCCACCCATTTCAGTGAGAATCTCATCTGGAAACTTCCTCAAAGACACACCCAGAAACAATATTTAACCAAATATCTGGGCACCCCATGACCCAGTGGGGTTGACACATAAGATTAACCATCACAGTGGTGAATCCCTGGGTCCTTTATGAAGGCAAATCAGAGGAGAGAATGCAAATTTGTCCATTTATGGAATTTATTCCAAAACAGCAGATGCGAAAATTCCACTTGATGAAGGGCTGCAAGTTTTGTAGAAGGAAAAGAAATGGTTACAACAATGAGCTGAATATAAATAATTCTGCATTTTTACAGATTCAATATTTGAAGTTTCGGCTATTTGCAAATGACTCGTTCTACAGGGTGGGTGAGGTTGTGCTTCGGTAACAAACGAGATCAAAATCTCAGTGGCTGAAAATACGAACCAGTTCCTTCTCATGAAGGCTGCATTGTCGCTTCAGGGTCAGCTGGGACCTCTTCCTATTGGGACCTAGGCTCACAGAGGCTCTATCTTGGCGCTTCCTCCTACAGTCACTGTGGCAAGAGGAAGATGACATGGCTTAAAATATTTGCCCAAGAGGGACACCACAACGTCCTTCCCCATCTCATGTGCAATGTCAATTATATGGCCTCCACCGGGATGGGGAAGAGCCTGGGAGGAGACAGGAAATGTTCCGTGAGTGGGACACCCACACAGCCCATGACAGGCGGCAACGGCTAGCTTTACAAGGCATGAGTTCCACTCTCTTACAGTAGAGCTGGTGGATGGGCCCAGGCCCTGTGGCTGTTGAGCGAGTTCGGTCCACTCACTGCTCAGGCTCAGGGTGCCAGAAAGATCTGGGCTGCACTCTCATCCACTTTGTATCATTCTCATGAATTGATACAAATGCAGATTTGGGGGGTGAAAAATTAGCCCCAAAGAGGAAGTCAGGTCTAGTCATGGAAGCAAAGAACAAGAGAAGAGGCTCAAAGGAGTTGGGTTCTTAGTTAGCAAACAGCTCTTCCGGAAAAACCTAGAGTCAAATGCAAAGAACAAAATGACAAAGTTGTGTAAATGACAGAGTAGCGTAAGTGTTGATATTTTGCATAAAACTGCTGTATCATCCTTTCAAATGTATCTAATTAAAACTAAATAGCATAGTCGTTTAACAGCCACTATCCTTCCAAAAAATATATTACATTTTTCTTAACCATTAGGAATATGGATCATTTCCCTTTCTCCTCGAAAGATCCCCTCCTCTATCTCCCTGGTGATTTTGTCTTATTTCAATACATTTTTACCCTGTAAATTATTTTACTTATGAACTAACTATGTTTAGAATTGGATTTATCTTTGGAATTTGTAACATCCAAGTGATCAAAATGACGTATTTGGATAAATAATTATTAAACATCAAAGCAACATTTTATTGGAGATGCACATCTTTATGAAGCGGATGGAGGGCATCGGGAAGTCTTAGTGAAAGGACACCGCCTCAGCCCCCAATGTAACAACCTGCCCCCTTGTTGAACCTGTGGGAGGCCCACCAACCCTGAAGCAAAGCACCGTGAGGAGACTCTGGGGGGGTGAAGATCTCACCTCTCCTTCTAAAATGGGAAAGGCCGGTTGTGAAGGGGAGATGGGAAAGGTGGGCAGCGAGAGCGCTTTCAGGTGGGTCAGTAGGGAATGTTATCACATGGAGTTTGAGGATCGGTGCCCACGTGCTCTTGGGAAGTGCTTGTGTGCCCCCACGGGAAAGTCGGCCTCGCTTTGAAAATCCTTCCTCCACTCCCTGACTTGCT